CTATAATTCTTATTAATGAAATCCTCTCTATTTTAAAGAAGTGTAGCATGAATAATAAAAACCCAGAGACAGATACTGGGGTTCAAGCTGAAGGTCAGAGAAGCAAAGCAGCCACCCACTAACTAGCTCTTACTTCTACCTCAGGCTAAAATGGAGAGATCCTGCCTCCATGTCTTCTCAGACAGCAATCCCCTGAGTTTCTGTCTTCTCCCACCTTATACCCCTCCCCCAGCAATATCAACCTGTCTCTACCTCCCTACTGATTCAATCTCATGTAGCCCTGGGTGCCCTCGAACTCACAGAGATCCAACCACCTCTGTCTCTTGAGTCCTGAGATTAAATGTGTGTGCCACCATTGCCTGGCCTCTGTTGCTGTGGCTAGCTTTGCATTCTGATCTTCAATGGCTTTATTATTAGATTATCAACAATATGATCACCACAAAAAGGTTATATTATTTCACTTAAAAAGTTCAAGCCTTCTGGGCAGAGAAGAAAGGCTAGAAGAGGAAAGAGTACAAAGAGTCAGATGATGACATGGGATTTGGCTTGTTTGATTAAATTCCTACTCCCCTGCAAATAAAGCCTTTTTATGCATCTTGAAAAAAGAGAGAGAGAGAGAGAAAATCCCAACTAATACAGACATCTGCCAAAACTAGAAAATATAATTAATGAAGGAGCGTAACACCCTCTTTGAGGTCAGGAACAAAGCAAAATGATCTCGCTTCCCTCCTCTTTAACATTGTACTGGCATTTGAACCGGCTCATCGTGAGTCAAGAAAAAAGAAAAAAAAGCAAGTTATCATATAAAATAGGGGGGGCTGTGATATTACAGGAAAGAGTGCAGGAAGTCTTCAAAGATAATTAAACATGGAATTACTGTGTGTCCCTCCCACCAGGCCCCACGGGAACTGAAACGGAGCACAGCCACATGAGTCACCAGTGTCAAAGGCTAGTTACCTAGCTGTGTGTTGTTAGCAGGTGAAGGATGGGCAGGCAGTGTCAGCCACAGTGGGATTCTATCCCACCTTGGCATGGAAGGAAGCATTGGTATATGATATTGGTATGCAATACAAGCCAGACGCAGAAAGACAAATACTGTGCACATGCCAGTCATGTTATTGTTGTTGTTGTGATGAAATATATGACAAATGCAATTTAAAGGAGAAAGGGTTTATTTGGACTCATGATTTCAGAGGGTCAGTCCACTGTGACAGGCTGGCTGGTCATGGTGGGATTATAGTGTTGTTCCAGCATGGCCATCATGGCAGTCAGGAACATAGGAGAAGGGACTGGGAACCACAAAACAAACAAACAAACAAAACCTCAAAGGCACACATCACTAAGGACCTATTTCTCCAGGTAGACCCCATCGCCTACAAGCTCCCAAATAATCACCTCCACCTAAGAACCATGTATTCCCCATGTGAGCCTGTGAGAAACATTTTATATTGAAACCATAACACCGTAAGACTCTATATAGGTAAAGTAGTCAGAGCAGTCAAATCCATACACTCAGAAAGTAGAGCTATGCACGGCCACAAATGCTGGAGAGGAGTTGGAGTGAGGGGTCCTTTACACACTGAACTCTTCTACATAAGGGTCATGCGAATGTATACAATAGTGTGGCTAGTAGAGAGTCCTCAAAACAAAAATTCTTTTCCATGTGACCCAGTTACACCATTCCCAGATTTACACCAACATGTCACAAAGACCCTTGCACATCAGTGTTGACTGTGGCACTAACTGCACACAAAGACCAAGGTATACAACCAGTTAGAATGTTCATCGATGGATGGATTGATAAGAAAATGATATATAAAGTCTTTCTCTGAAAATACCCCTTGCCTTCAGAAATTGAACTCGGGAAGACCTTGCCCGCTGCCTTGAGACCATTTAAACTATCCTCAGTCAACAGTGTAACCAGCCTTGCATGCCTGGATGTCCTGGGTCATGGCTTTTACAACCTAAGCTAAACACATAGCTTTAATCTTAAACCATGTGCTCTTCCATACGCCTGACCTAGAACAATGTATGTGTGTGCTGTGGTGATCATGTACTGAAAACAGCCAGTGGGTTGAATGAATCCTTAAGCAAAACAAAACATCCACCACACGCATTAAAGCCAACTTGTGGATGTAGGCTGATAACATCTGTGTGTGGTTTCTGAGTGTTGTTCCGAGTCAGCCTAGTAACTTCTTACCTTGTAGAATTCTGTTAAAGTTTTCTATAGAAAAGAATGCACATCCCTTTCCTATACTATGTTTTCTATGCTGTTCAGTAAATATAGAGCACAGCCGTTTGCTAGGGAGAAACTATGGGGAAAGATGTCGGACACACCAGATAGACAGGCTTGGCCATAGGTCACAAACTGCATGTAGAGAGAAGACATGACAGAGCTGTGGAGAATCCGAATTTGGGTTCACTCTTGGTCAATCTATTCCAAAAGGGAGACTCTCTTTATTCTTGTTCAGTACTGATGCAGACTGGCATGTGCTATCCTGGGGAACAGGACTGTGGGGAGATGGTTTAGTAAGTGAAGTGCCTGCTTCACACATGTAAGGGCCTGACTTCCTGATCCCTAATACCTATGTAAAAGCCTAGTGTGGTGATGCGCATCGGTAACTCTGGTGCTGAAGGGACAGGGGTAAATGGGGTGAAGGAGAGGAGGGGCATATCTCTGGGGCACAAAGTTCAGTCTAACTAATTAGTGAGTTCCTGGTCCGGCGACAGACCCTGCATTAGTAGTTTTAATGGTAATGGCCCCCATGGGTTCATGTGCTTGAATACTTAGCCCAAAAGTGGCGGAACTATTTTGGGAGGACTAGGAGGTGTGGCCTTGTTAGAGAAGGTGTGTCACTGGGAGAGGGGTTGGCTTTGAGGTTTCGATACATCTTTCTCTTTTAGCTCTCTCTCTGTCTTTTAGCTCGCATCTGTGTCTCAGGATCTAAGCTCTCAGCTACTGCTTCAGCGTTATGCTTATCTTCCTGTTGCCATTCCCCCCCCCCTTGATGGCCATGGCCTCTAACCCTCTGAGCTCCAGATAAACTCTTCTGTAAGTTGCCCTGACTGTGGTATATTAGCACAGCAATAGAAAAGTAACTGAGACACTTTATGTGAAACAAACAAACAACAACAAAAACAAGGTGGAAATGGACCAAATAAGACACCCAACATTGACCAGCGGCCTCCACGCCCACATGTGTATATGCACACACATATACTATGCACGCATGCATACATACATGTAAAAGAACAGAATCATGTCTTTTGCATGGAAATGTGTAGAACTGGCTGGCTATTGTTACAGCAAGCAAAGTAAAGCAGACACAAAAAAGATAAATACTGAACGCATGCTCTCACAGTGGAATCTAGACACGATTTAAATACATAGGACATGCAAGTTGGGGGGGGACTGTTTGTGAGGAGGCAGCTGACTAGAGGGTGAGGGAGGTGGAGGGTGGAATGGAGTGAAAGAAAAAAGCAAACATTACATGTTCACTTTCCTGCAGAATCTCGGTTTTGCAATATATGAGACATGAAAACAGAGGAAGGCAATTTGGGGGATGGAGGCATCAGAAGTTGGTGAGAGGGTGCATTTGAAAGGGTCATGAAGAAACCCATCACTGTGTACGGTCACTGAAAAGCATTAAATGAAAACATAAAAACATTAAAACGAGAAAAGATGGGGTTTGTCAGGACCTGGTGAAGTGGCATGGGGAGCTGCTGTCTAATTGGGACAGAGTTTGTGGCAATGGAAATGTCCCAGAGGTGGCGGTGGTGGTGGTGGTAGCTATGCAACAGCGAAGATGTACTTGATTCCACGGAGATGGACACCCAGAAATCGCTGTGTTAATGTTTGTCTGTTTGCATGAGACAGCTTCTCACACTGTTTGTTACCTCAGCTTCCCAAGTGCTAGAATTACAGACATGAACCACCACACTCAGCTTTAAATGGGAAATGTGATGCCCTATGTATTTATTACACTTTTGATTTGTGGAAATGCTGCATCCTGGAGGCAGGACTCTTCCCTAAGTAGAGGTAATTTGCTGCCTAGATCTTGTGAGTCAGAGTCTTCGGAGATGACATGCAAAAATGACATGTAATTTTTAGGAAAAGGGTACCCCGTTGTCATGAAGATGTCAGAGAGTGTTGTGATACACCAAAATATGCCTGACAGTTCCATACTGTCCTTGCCCACCCATCCCATCTCCTATTGGCCTTTGGTGCTACCATCACCAGCCGCCCTCTCCATCCCCTTTTTTTTTTTTTTTCCACTTTCTCCTCTCCCCATCACAACACCATGTCATTCCTTCACTCATGTGGTTTACATTCAGTGGAGATTAATTTTTTTTAAAAAAATATCTTCCTTTGAAGCACACACACACAGGTAAGCTGGGCATTGGTGGCACATGCCTTTAATCCCACACTCACTCAGGAGGCAGAGGCAGGTGGATCTCTGTGAGTTTGAGGCCAGCCTGGTCTACAAAGCTACACAGAGAAGCCCTGAGTGTGATTCTGAGATCTGCTAAACTTTGTGTCAGTTTACAAAACCCTTCCTTTCCTGTAAGGTTGTTAAAAGGACTCTGCTCCGGCCTGTGGCCTAGAGTAGAAAAGGCACCCCCCACTACCGGTCCAGTTAGAGTTCTCCAAATTGTGTCCAAAACTGAAAGTCGTTGCCAACTGGATTTTCCTGTAGAATCAATATTTTGCATTTAGCACAGGCTGCGTTTTAACAAACGGAGACCCCACTGGCTTTCACTTCTGACCTGCCTGCATGCTGACGGGATTCCTGGTAGGAAATACAGAGGCCCTCAGACGGTGTCCTGACTTCAGACACGGAGGCAATTAGGACTGTCATGGCTCAATTTTCTCCCAAGTGAATTCTGATACTTCTCCTTTTTTAAAAATGCTTTTATTTCTATTTTTAAATGAGACATATTGTTGAATGCATGCATGAAATGCAAAAGGCACATGTATTCCTTCCTTCCTTTAGCCCTTGATGTTCACATAGCATGGGGTTTGGGGGAAAGAAGGCCTTCTAAAGCAAAGCACAGGCTCTGTGGCACCTCGTCAAGGGAGGTTAATAGTCGTCATAGTTGACACTGGCTCCATGCCTGAAGCTCTCTGGGTTGCGGGGACGGATGGCTGCATCTTCATCATAGTGGCGCTGATAGTAGTCACCATAGTAGTCATGCCCATTTCGGTTTCTGTTTAACCAGTAGTTGACATCATCTTCGAATTTCTGGAAGACAGGGGAAAGACGAAGAATGGATTTAAAGACACTCCCCTAAAAACACGTGAAAAACACTTCTCTTGAAGTGGCTTTTCTCCGGTGACTGACAACCAGTGTTAAAACAGCTGCTTATTGTAATGTTTTGTTCATGGGTCAATTCAGCCTTGGGATGCCAATACAAGCTACCCCCACAAAGGAATCTATAACTATAATCTGTTATTATTATATTATTATGGATTAAAGTATAATCCATATACTTTATGGATTTATATTATATTATATAATAATAATTTATATTATTATAATTAATAATGTCTACCATGCCAGTTCTTTTTTTTTTTTAATTTATTTATTTTACATGCATTGGTGTTTTGCCTGAGTTTGTCTGTGTGAGGGTGTCGGATCTTGGAGTTACAGACATTTGTTAGTTGCCACGTGAGTGCTGGGAATTGAACCCAGGTCCCCTGGAAGAGCAGCCAGCACTCTTAACGGCTGACCATCTCTCAGCCCCCATACCAGTTCTTAATACCCCTACACCCGAGTGTTTTTATCTTTATAAGGTAAGTAAAATGTGTGTCTGTTAAATGTAATATCAGGTTGGCTGCCCCTGAGGCATCATCCACATTACTGTGGCAGATACCTTTCTATCCTCCTGACCTATTCCTGTGCCTGGTCCACCACATGAATTAAATCAACTGTTGGCATCTTACAGCTCCGGGTGGGGCAGGGCATCTGGGACACCTCGGGTGGTGTGCACACCTGTGTTCCTGGTTTGTGTGTGCACAGGCAGAAGTGTTCACTGTGCAAGGTTGTGAAATGGGCTGTGGGTGTCAGACCTTGTGCAAGCTCTGCACTAAGGCCCAACTCAAGATAAAGAGTCCTGGCTTACAAGAAACCTGCAGTCTGTTGGAAAGAATTATGAAAAGAGACAGCTACTGTTAATAAAAATAGGAAGGAAAAGAAAGGGCCAACGAGTAATAAGACCTCCCCTCCAGCAACTGTTCTTAGCTGTGAATTGCCTTTTCACAGGGGAGAAGAATTTTCTGAAATGATGATGCTGAAAGTCCAAGATGAATTGTGATGACAACTTGCACGTGTTGATCTAGTGAGAGGGTGTGACATTGAGGACAGAACAAAGACAGACTGGGAATGGGAGCCAGCTGAGCAGTCTGAGCTGCAGGCTGTGGGTGTGAGACCCTGCATCAGAACACCTCTGAGACTGGAAAGAAAAAATTGCAGATTCATTGGCGCCATGCCAGCCTCTCCCGGGCTGAATTTTCTAGTGGTTGAGTCTCAGGACTCTATTTTCATTTTACTGGGATGGCTGGGCAACACTAAATGCAGACCACCTCCAACTTGCACGATTTTTGTCTTTGTGTTGGTATACTATGAAGGCAATGTGCATTCAGTAGGAACCTCTGTGGGTTCTCTGTGGATCTGGATCTTTTCCAAGGCTAGTGCCGTGTGGGATGAGCCTCTCCAGGAATGCTGCAGTGAGTCCGGGCTCCCAGTTGGCCCCTGACAACATGTCTGATTCAGGAGGGTGGTAAGGTAGGTGTGCTGGAGACATTTTAGTTTGTAGTGATTCCAACTTGCCATAGACTAAGGGCCATCTGCCCTGAGGCCTAGCCTGACCTCAACTCCCTATGTAGCCAAGGCAGACCTTGAACTCCCAAATGCTGGTGCTACAGGTGTGCACCAAGATGTCCACTGACTGCTTTACAATTTCCAGTTCTTGGGAGAACTCACCCACTGAGAGGCCACAGCCTCTGTCCTTTTGAAAGGTAAAGCCCTCCTGACCTAATTACTTTGCACTAGGGCCTCATCTCCTGAAGGTCCCAGCTCTCCAACCCTGCCCCACTACGGACCAAGCTTCTAGCCGTGAACCCTAGGAGCACACAAACCATAGGCAAACCACAGTGCTTTTATTCCAAATGTCTGAACCCACTCTAGCTGCATGCTACCCAGCCTGGGGGAGGAAGAATCTGTAAACCAAATAGCTGCATCTCGGATTCCTAGAGAATGTCACTTTCCTAGAAATGCCTCTAGCCCTCCTGTCCATTTTCATCTGGGCATTTGGACAACTCACTTAACCATGGTCATCTTTGCCCAGAAATGGCTGAAGCAACAAGATAGGTATACTCAAGGCTATATAAGACCCTGCCTCAATAAACAAACAAACAAATGCATACAAGTGAATAAAGAACATTTAGGCTTCCTTCTTGCTTTACATACAACCGTCTCTTAACACGCCTATTGTGACACCGCTTGCCACGATGCTCTCACTGGACTCACTATACAGTGACTTCATGCTCTTAGACCTTCAGAACCACAAGGTGAAAAATGAGCTCTCACAACGTTTGATAGAGCAACAGAAAACAGACTAAAATGAGAAGAAAAGCTTAGCGTTCCAGGTTCTCCTCCCCCAGGCCAGGCCTCTGTCCCTCACGGTCTGCCCTGTAGTGTCCAAGACCCCCCAGCAGGAAGGCATACGCACCGCCTCATCAAAGCCCATGTACAGGAACTGCTGGTACCATTGCTGGACCTCAGGCCGTGTGCGGTCCCACAGCTGTCTCTTGGCACGCTTCAGGCCACCCAGGAATTCCTTTGCTGTGTGCTCAGCCACAGCCACGTTCGTCTTGGCTGGTGCGGGTTCTGAAAGGTTACGTTCCCAAAAGACAAAGGATGATTTCTTTTCTGAAAACAGTTTTCTCTTTACTATTGGATCCCCCACCCCCACCCCCCCGCCCGCTTCCTGTGTTTTGTCTGCATGTGTGTCTGTGCACCTTGTGCATGCAGTACCAGCAAAGGCCAGAAGAGGGCGTCAGACCCTGTGAAATAGAGTTACAGACAGTTGTGAACCCCCACGTGGTCGGCAGGAATCGAACGCAGACCCTCTAAAACAGCAACCAGTGCTCTAAACTACTGAGCCCTCTTTCCAGCCCCAGGCTATTATTGGAATTTTATGGTGGTTTAACCACTGACACCTAGTAATTGTACATATTTACGCTATACATATGCAAGGATCAAACAGGATTAATTGGCATTCCCCTCGCCTTAAATGTTTATCATCTCTCCATGCTGGGAAGCTTTAAACTCTTTTCTAGTTCATAAAATGTGCCGCGGATTGCTCTGAGCTGCAGCCACCCTGCTGCGATGCAGCTCATTATAGGACTTACTCCCCTGCACCTGCTTGTTACCCAACACCCACCCCCTCCCCCTTCACTACCTCTTCAGGCCCCACTGTTAGCTACGAGAGAGGAGCAGAAGTGATTAATGATCGCGTGGGAAACGCGGCTCATATTTTCTAATCTCCGTGACACCCAACTTTACAGGAGATGAAGAGAGGAGAAAGGATGTGCGCTAGACAGCACAATGGATCCATTTTTGACCTGATAACAATGGACTAAGAACCCACATTTTATGACTTCCAGTTTATGACTTCCAGGGCATTCTACTTCTGTCTCCTTGTTGCTGTCTACCACGTAAGTTGGGAACCTTCCCCCCCCCCCCCAGCAGAAGTTAGTAATAGAAAAAGTTCCCCAGTGGGAATGCCTTTTCCTAATTGCTTCCTGCATAGGCAGAGCATCAACAGTGCCATTCTGTAACTACCCCACGAGGTAGGGTTAGAGTCAGATGGGTTTCAACATTTGATTAACACTGTACCGCTGTTTCTGAGTCCACACAGACAGCCTTTAGAAGAAGAAGAAAATTGCCAAACATTTCCTGGCAATAATATTTATGTAGCAGAATGCCACACCACATACCTGCAGAATAAATCCTTCAGATGTGCAAGCCTTTTAAAGAGCAAACACTTTCTGATATCCCAAGCACAGGATACTCCGTGGACGAGTTTGTCACTGCTCTCCCTTGCAGTTACCCCTTACCCACTTGAGGCTGACTTACCTTCTCGTTTCTGGAGCATCTGCTTGAGTTTGTTTCCGCTTATGCTACCTACATAAACAAAACAGAAAGCAGTTTCAGAGCCCATCATCCCTGGGATTACCAGGTGCAAAAACCAGAGTCGGAAATAAGAACCAGAGAACCCCCGTGCTGATGTAACAGATCTGTAGTAAAGTATCTAATTGTTTCTTTTGGGCACTTGCCGCACAAGAAAAACAATGCATGGTGGTGTCTGGGATTAATAGCGATGACAGGTGACCATGAATGGCAAGGGCCATGCTGCTTGAGCTGCATTGTAATTTTAGGCTTGGTGCCATACTGTGAGAGGAGCTACTTATCACATGCATCTCCCAGCAAACCATTATCTTCATGGTGTAAGAGGTCCTTCAGTGCTCCTGAATTCATAATCCCCTGGAGGTAAACTTATTTGTATGCAGGTTTTTTGTGGTGATTTGAATAAAAGTGCCCCCCCAGACCCATAGGGAGTGGAGCTATTAGCAGGTGTGACCTTGCTGGAGTGACCGTGGTCTTGTTGGAGGAACTGTGTCACTGAAGGTGGGCTTGGAGGTCTCAGATGCTCAAGCCAGGCCCGGTGTTACACTCTCTTCCTGCTGATCCAGCTAATAAAATCTCAGCTCCTTCCCCAGCACGGTGTCTGCCTGCACGCTGCCATGCTCCCTACCATGATTATAATGGACTAAACCTCTGAGCTGTAAGCCAGCCCCAATTGAATGTTTTCCTTCATAAGAGTTGCTATGGTCATAGTGTTTCTTCACAGCAACAGAAACCCTAATTAAAACCATGCTTGCAGTTACCACTTGTTAAGGATCTTAAAATGCTTTCACACAAGACTCGGGGTGGGCTCTGCATGCATTCCATGGTGTAGATACAAACAGACTGGGAAGCCCCATGAGACAGGGCCAGGCAGTGATAAGGCTTATAGGACAAGCTTAGGGACATGCTATTCTTGTTTGTTAAAATAGCTGCACTGTTTTGTAACTCGCTCTGATTGTCTTCCATTCAAGCTTTATCGGTGTGGGGGCATTGGCTGTCAGATATATTCGTTTTTAAAAGAGAAAAAAACTGATTAGCCTGATAAGTTAGTAGGAAACAGCATATCTAGCCTGAAGGAACACATCCTCCATTTATTGAGCTGGTCCCTAAGAGTTGCATACAAGCTTGGTCTCATGAAGGGTGGACCCAAAGCCCCTGGGGGGAAACACTCCCAGTATCTTAAGTAGGAAACAGAGCATTTACAGGGGTCTGGAACTGCCACAGGGACTCATAATGATGAAAGACATGTCGGGGTAATGAGGCTGCCTTCCCAGCAGGGTTCTTAACCTCTCCATCTAGGGTTTCTGGGAAAGGATGAACTTGTGCTTGCATCTGCAAAAGCAGCCCAGATGAGAATAAGAACTTTCTTTGAGTACACACCCACAAGCAGTATAACCGGGTCATAGAACGATTCTGTTTCTAGTTTTCCGAGAAACTTCCACATTGATTTCTAGAGTGGCTGTACCAGATTACACTGCCACAAGCAGTGAATACAGGTTCCGGCCTCCGTACATCCTGTCCAGCATGTATTGTCATTTGTTCTCATGATAGCCATTATCACTGGGATGAGAAGCAATTACTCTAGTTCTAATTGGTAATTCCCTCGGGGATAAGGATGTTGAGCATTGTTTTTAATGCGCCAAGACACTTGCACACTCACGTTTATCGCTGCACGACTCAGCAATGGTTAAGAAATGGATCCAGCCTACATATCCACTCACAAATAGATGGGTAGAGGAACTGGTACAGAGACACAGTGGCATTTTACACAGCCATAAAGAAAAATCAAATCATGCCATTTTCAGAAAAAAAAAAAATGAAAAGAACAGGAGGTCATTATGTTAAGTGAGATAAACCAGACTGAGTGTTCTAGCTTGGTTCCTTTTGCAATGATAAAACGCTATGTCCAAAAGAATCTTAGGGAATAAAGAGTTTATTTGGCTTACACTTCTGGGTCACGGTTCATCACTAAGGGAAACCAGTGTGACACTCAGGGAAAGAACCTGAAGGCAGGAACCACAGAGGAACACTGTTTGCTGGATCACTCTCTGGCTTGTTCATGCAGGCTTATGCCCTGCTAGCTTTCCTATGCAGTCTGGAACCTGCCTAGGGAATATCACTCTTCATGATGGACCGGGCCCTCCCATGCTGATTAATAATCAGGATAATACATCACAGACACGACCACAGAGCAAGCAGATAAAGTAAATTGAGACTCTCTTTTCAGTGACTCTAGGCTGGGCCACACTGACAGTAAATGCTCACAAAGACACGGAAAAGCAAACACCATGCTCTTTCTCATACAGATCCCAGATTTTAATTTGTGTGTGTGTGTGTGTGTGTGTGTGTGTGTGTGTGTGTATGCACGTCTATATACAGACTGGGTGTAAGCTATAAAACTAAAAAGGAGACCATAAGAGGGACAAAATACCATGACCATGGCAACTTGAAAAGACATCACTTAGCGAAGCTTACAGTTTCAGAGAGTGAGTCTATGATTATCATGGCAGGGAGCACAGAAACAGGCGGGAATGAATGGTACTGGAGCAGTAGCTGAGAGCTTACATCTAATGCATGAGCAAGGGGGAGAGATGGGTGGAGAAAGAGAGAGGAAGATAGAGGAAAAGAGAGAAAGAGAAAGAGAGGGGGAGAGAGAGGAAGAGAGAGAGGGAGGGAGAGAGAGGAAGAGACAAAGAGAGGGGAAGAGAAAAAGAGAAAGAGGGAAGAGAAAGAGAGAAGAAGACAGAGGGAAAGAGAGAGAGAGAAAGAGAGGGGGAGGGAGGGAAGAGAGAGGAAGATAGAGGGAAAGGGAGGGAGAGAGAGGAAGAGAAAAAGAGAGAGGGGAAGAGAAAGAGAAAAAAGAGAGGAAGAGAAAGAGGGAGGGAGGGAGGGAGAGAGAGACAAAGAGAGAGAGAGAGAGGAAGTGAAGAGAGGAATAGAAAAAGAGAGGAGAAGAGATGGCCACTTCTCTACAGTCGAAGGTCACTGGGAACCCTGCTTGAGGTTGGAGATGTTCATTTTCAGCTGTTCCTGGAGCCGTGCCTTCAGTACACCGCCGTGGGCTCTGACCCTCTGGGACTGTAAGCTCTGGATGTTCTATTTCATAAGTTGCCTTGCTCTTGCCACCGTGTGAGGATGGGGCCCCAGGAGATTCGCCAGGTAGGATCACTTGAGGCATCTGAACATAAAGCGAGCGAGCGAGCGAGCATCACAGCTGAGAACTGGCCAGGCTACTGGAGAGGTGATCTACACTGATAAGGTGGGGCTGGTGCTAAATGCCGCGCTTCCCTCCCAACTGGAAAAGTCAACGAGGAAATCTATGACTTTATTTGCCAAGGCAGATAGGTACATTCTTGGCTCTACTGCTAGCGATCGTGAACATCTTAACATTTATCAGTCTTTAACAAGCCACAGGGCAGCACACGGAGAATTGAGCTCCAACCTCCATCTGTTTGCCTTCTTGTACAAGTGCTTCACAATTAGAGTGAAACGTGGTCCTGATGCTGAAAGACACATGAGGTTTGGGCTGATACTGCAAGCCTGCAATTTCTTGCACCACAGCATCTCAGCTGCGCAGTTAGGAGAGGCTTGGAGAGGTCCCGTGCCATGAATTATGAACGCTGTGGTTGCGCCAACCCCTGTGCCCCCGGCTACATATTAATACATATAATTGGACAGCACACTGACTCAGCTTGAGGGAAAGAATAAGGAACAAAAGAAGAGTTGTGACCCCTTTACTGCAACATCCCCAGCTGTCTGTCATTCCCAGACTGTGATGAAAAGACATCACTCATGTACCAAATCTGACTACCAGACTTAGAACACACAGGGGACTGGGTACACTTGGAGTCTCATGATGCCCCTCTCTAAAGGTGAAAAGAAAAAATCCTAACAAGCAGATCAAGAGTGGACCATGGTCACTTTCTTTATGAAATGTGCTTGGGTGTCATAAAGAGTCCTGTTTGGGGGCTGGAGAAATGGATATTTTTTTTGGTTAAGAGCGCTGGGTGCTCTTCCAGAGGACCCTGGTTTGATTTTCACATCTACATGGCAACGTGTAACCTTCTGTCACTCCAGTACCCGGGGTTACAACACCTCCTTCTGGCCGCTGCAGGTACTGCAAGTATGAGGTACACAGACATACATCCATGCACATAAAGTAAAAGGGGTGTCATCTTTGAGATTCAATGTGTCTTCAGCTCTCACTGTAAAAAGTTCACATTTCAGTTCAAGGATTCTGATACTGTAACTGGTTCCATCACTCACTTCTTAGCATTAAAACCTGAGTGCTGAAAACGAATGGCCTATAGAGCTGACATTTGCAACAGCAATCCTTCAGCTAGAACAAGCCCCTCTTTATTCTGTGGTCCCTCCCGCCGTATCCTACCTCCCCTCACCCTGGAGTTTGGTTTACCATGCCTGCTCTGAGAAAGCAAAAAGTAAAGCAGCAGAGAAATCTAGTGTGTCCTTGTTTACATTTGGCAATGCCCAGTGATGTCCCTTTGTACTGGGACAAACACCATCTAAGGTGCTGGGCAAATAATTTAGAGTATTCCAGATGCTGTTCTCTTGGCAGTAAATCTAGGGTCACAGTGCTGCCTTCCAGAATTGTAAACCTCAAAGGCATTCCTATGCCGGGGTGGGATATGGGTGGGGGTTGGGGGGTTGAGGGATTGGGGGCAGGAGAGAGTCACTTGTGACCCTTACAAATAAAACAATACTTTTGCAGTTTCAGAGGGCAAAGTCTGTGGAGTTCTGGGTAGAGAAGGCTGAACATCCATCAAAGCTATTCCTTTTGGGTGCTTTTAATGGAAAAAGAACTGAGCGTTTCAGATGGCTCAGCTAATTCAGCTAAATGCAATGGAGAGGTTAAGCACTGCTCGGCTTTAAAGGCTGATGCCTGCTCAGTTTTGCAGCCTGGAATGCCATTAACTCTGCTGCCCCAGGTGCCTGAAGGAGAACTGGGAAAGAGAGCAGCTTGTCCTTCCTGCAGACGACACCACCCACTTCAAGCCTCCACCATCCCTGATTTAGTTAGCACTTTTTCCAAGTCCTTCGGATCCCTATTCCATTTGCCCAAGGTTGCCCCTCAGTCTACAACCCTCCCTTCGAATTTGATAGCCTCACTGCCTGCCCAAATGCACCACTTGGGGCTCATGCCAGTGCAAAATCCTAGAGCTGTTGACTCTATCTTCTTGGTCTAGACTAGGCTAAGAGAGGGATCAAATGCGAGCAAGCAGCACCGATTTCCAATCTCCTTCCCTAGCACCCCCAGCACTATCCTCCAGGCATTTGTCACTCACCTGGACACAGGCACAGCAAAAGGAGCAGCACCAGCCCAGCCAGGGCCAGGACCGAAGGCCGCGCAGACGAGGTGGCCATGGCGCCAGGACTCAGCAGAGTGGCTGGGGGGACGACTGGAGCGAGAGACCCGGGCTCAGCAAAGCAGGCGAGCTCCGGGTATCCTTGCCAGGGGCGGGACCCACTGGGCGGGCAACAAGCCAGCAGGCTGCCCGCCAACCTGCAGATCAACGCCACGGAGGCACGCTGTCCTGTGGCGAAATTCTGGAAGCGGGGAGCCGCGTGGCCAAAGGGGCAAGGGAAAGCCAGATGCCACGCACAGACTAACAAGGCTGCAGACAAGGAATGCTGGCTCCCCCACTCCTTGGTTCCCCTCAAGCAGCATAACCCTCCCTTAGCATCCCAGCCCCTTGGCTCCTGGCTCAGGCCTTGCCTTACAAAGTAGTCTTTGGAATGTCTTTAGTTCCTGAGCTGTAGTTAAAGTTGGCTCCCGCAGAGCCTCGTTTTATGATATTTTGAAAAAAAAAAAAAAAAAAAAGAAAAGAAAATCTGGGTTCTGAGCTGCAGTCTAGGAAAACATCTCAACTCAAACCACTGCAGTGCAGAAGCTTTCAGGAGACCAGTGTGTTTTGCAAAGCTGTCAACAAAGATCATGTGTCCATTGTGCACACTCTCGTCTTGGGACATTTGAGCGGTTGGAAAAGGAGTCAGGAGACACTTACTGTCTCAGTAGCAGTCTTGATGACCCAAACAGGCCACAAAAACAGTCAGTGTACCCTTGTGTCAAAGCCTGGAGGCTTTAGGCTCCCAGAAGGAGCATTGCAAAAGCAGGTATTCCAGAGGGCAAGAAATGCAAACTGCCATGATTGTAAGTCTTAAACAGGAAAGTGGCACAAATCAATTCTATTGTGTTCTATTGGTCTAAGAACCATAGGATTGATGGCCTAGTGAAGGGTCAGGGAGCTCCTTGATCAACTGGAGGATATCTAAGAGGCCACACCTCCTTCAGCCTGCCATACCCACCAAGCTTCCATGCAGAGCACAGGTGCTGGCTACTCAAGAGGCGCTCTTTCCCTGCCCCTCGGGCTGGATCATCCTTCAGCAAGCCCTTTACACCCCATCCTTTCCCGGCTCTACCGTAGATTTCTTTGTGTATCTTTCTCTCTTTTGTCCCTTGAAAACCGAGCTCCTCCGGTGCCCCTCTTTTCAACCACTGTGCAGAGCCACACTATGAATAGCTGAAGAGTAAATGCATGCTATCCAAGAGTGCATCAGTTCAAGACTATCCTGATACTGCATAAATGAGATCGTTAGGTGTGACCCCATTTTTTGGTTTTTATCCATTTGATACTAGAAAAGGATACCGGGATATGCAATTACATCACACTGTATCCAAGATTTGCAGCACTTGGAGGAGGTGGCGGTGTGTGTGGGGGGGGGGGAGGGGATAAAGGGCTGGGATAACAGTTCTGCCACAAGCCTGCCCCAGCAACTGGCAAGCCAATCCTCCAGCTGTGTTGTTGTCAAACTTCCTGCTTAGCGATGGGACCTCAAAACCCCTTTCCTGTTGGTTAAGTCAGTTTCCACGCTGGGATTTTTAATAACTTTTGCCATTTGAAATAACTAACTAAAGCCAAAGGCGGGGGGGGGGGGAGAGTTCACTTTAGTCTAAAAAAATATTGAAGCACACAGAGTCCTTATTGTAGGAGGCTAACAGACGGGTTCTGTGACTGGCACTCAGGAAGAGATGCCCAGGACCCCACAAGCAGGCCTATCCTTTTAATGTCTGTGTCCAGGACCCCACAGGCAGATGTCCACCCTGAGTGTCTGTACCTGGGATCCAAGGGCAGATGTTATCTTAGTGTCCAAACCTAGAATTCTCCAACCAATGTGGTCCCTTAGTGTTTGAGCCCGGGACCTACCAGCAGGCATGGTTGTTAGTGTCTGTACCCAGGATCTCACTAGCAGACCAGGCCCCTCAGTGAGTGTGAGTGAGAATCCAGAGCCAGGAGACCCGGAGAGAGCCTGTAAGCTCCAGGGAAATAGCTCTCTTCTGTGCAAGGACCTTTGGTGAAATAAGAAAGCTTGGCTGGAGTTAGTTTCCAATCTTTCCCGCTTTAATTTTCACCACCGGAACCAGAGTTCTGAAAACAGATGGACATGGTTTTCAGATGAGATGCAGAGTTCTCCCCATGAGGAATTCCAGTCTCATTTTCCCTGGATGCCTCCCTCCGAAAGGTGGAAGCGGGAAATCCATATCGTTCTCCCAATCAGAGAGCATGGAACTCTACATATACTGCATATCTGTGGCTAACTCTATCACTTATAGGACTTAGGGCTTCTTCATCTTCTCTGATTTGCCAGCATTTCTTACTCTTGTACTTTGAGGGCTTGTATTAAGTAAAATAAGATTTTTTTTTTAATTAAGCTCTGAGATGTCACAATAGTCACCGTATCCCCCAGACAGCTACCAAATGGGCGACAAGTGTGGGTAGCATATACAATGTGAATACACCAGACAGAGACCACTCAGATCCTGGTCTGAGTGTGATAGGATGGCCCAAGACTTCATCAGATGGGTGTACAAATAATATGCATCATTTAAACGAGGAAGGTGAGGCAATAAACAAGAGGATAGTTCCATGAATTTGCTAATGCATTAGTATAATCACCACTACTCATGGAGAGTGGGTGATGGCAATATCACGTACATCAAGTGTATCCATAATCCTCCAGGATCCAACGAGAGGCCACAGCCTCCCCTGAAATCTAAAGCTAATAGTTTATCCAACATTTTATGATTTTTAGCTTAACTCCCAGGTAAGATAGAGCCCTGTTTATAGACAGAGACTCCCAGGGTCCAGGCTTGACGGGCACTCAGCAGTTTTCCTGGCATCTGAAGATCCTTACTTCATTTAGTGTTTCTACCTTCTAGGAAAACCTTCATCAGTCCAGTTTGTGCTTTTGCGTTAACCACAGACCCAGACTCAATGAAGCCAGTACCTGGTTGGGTTCTGTCCCCTGGAGGCTGCTGACCTTTGACTGTGGATCAACGCATAAGCAAAACATGTAACTACATTTTGTAATCTGTTTGAAAGCCTTCCAAGAATATGCATGCTAAGGACTCCAAAAGGCAAGATTGGTATTGTTTTAAACCAGAGTAATGGAGATTTATAAAACTAATAGATAGCTTATGGAGTATCTTGGAGAGACTTCATTACTTCAGACATGCTTCTGGACTGATACTGAAACATGTTTGTCCACCTCAGACTCTGCCAAGCATCTCACTCAGTATATCAACACAGGAATTCTCTCTCCTGTTGGTCCAGAATAATATATGACTTCTAAATCATTCTAAATGGCCCAGCCACTGCCTTTAGTAGATTTAGCCCTTGGTACCTTGTGCATGTTGCTGAGGGAGGCAGTCATTTTTCATGTCACATTTATTGGAGTTGTCAGCTGTGGATACACACATTGAATTACCTGAGTCACTATTTACTACTTAGCTAGTATCTCTCATCCTTAGACAGTTGCCTGGTGATGAAGGAAGGAGTGGGTATCCTTGATTGCTGGAGATGCTCTGACTCCAGTGGCTGAGGAGTGTATCACAGGGATGACTGTGGAGGTTCTATCATCTTATCTTTATTTGAAGGAGCAGAAGAGCCCTGCAACAAGGCAAGAATAACTGGTGTCTTAGGGAACAATCACGTGATGGTCTCGTGCAGTCATACAGCTGTCTCTCTTCCTTCTTGCAGGATGGAACCTGAGCACCAGTCACTAACCCAGTCAGGGAAACACAAGTCCTTGGAGGGGATCTATAGAGTCCCCTGCTCATGCAAGAGATAGTTACATAAAGCTTTCTCCACTGTCCCAAGCTTGAAAACTCTATCCAATCACATCTACATTTTCCAGTTGCATCACTGAGCTGTAACGGGAGCGAGACCAACCGCGTGTTCTTAAGCTATGTGACTCAATGGATGTTGCCAACACAATGGCAGACAGATGTTTCCATCACCCCAAAGGGTCCCTGGTTCCCTTTGCAATTTCCCCAATGTCTGTTCCTTACCAGGGTAGTTTGTGTCTTCTGGAACTCCATCAAACAGAGGAAACTGGGTTTCCTCTTTCAGATTTAACATCTTTGTACATGACATTCTCAAATCTTTTCACGCTGTGGCAATGATGTCTTTATAAGAGTTTTATGGGTGACGGTACCATGTGGACAAGCACAATTTGCGAATCTGGTCACCAGTTAATGCGTATATTTTTGTTCCCATGAGTAATGCAGCTATGGTTATATATACCTGTGTCCTCCTGTGGAGACATTTCGCTAAGAGGTTGGCAGCAGAACCACATAGTAGTTTTTGCTTATCTATTATTAATGATAATGAAGATGAGGGAGGCATCTATCCATTCACAAATGTGTATTAGTAGTCACCAGGAGGGCCACAGGGGGCAGGCAAACCAATGGATCGCTGATCACAAACAAGAACGTCTACACACAGAAGGAGAGAGGCTGCATAGAGGCTCCGTGAACCACATCTGTACGGCCCCTCAGTGCAGGGCCCACCCTCCTGCCACAGCATGCACATGCTCTCAGGGTTGCTGGGGCATTTACAGCTGGGGACACAGCTGCCTCAGAAGCAGGCAAGGCTTCTTTTGGGGCATGTGACTCTCCTTCGCCTTTATTGGAGCTAGGGCACCAAAGAAACACAAAAGTGCTCTCTCCCTCATTCCCTGCCCCATCTCCAGGAACACAGTGCGTCTCCAGGACGACAAGCCCCCAGCATTGTGGTAGACTCCTCTGCCTTTCACTAGTCCAGAGTACACCATGCTTTCTGCTGCACACAGGCACAATCAGGCCCAGTCCTTCTGACAAACTTGCACCAACTCCTCCTCTCAGCCCTGGCTGCCTCCCAGGCAGCTTCGACACTCAGTAGGACCAGCACCCTAACCCATCTCCGCTGCCCATTTCCATAAGTCTATTGATTAGAGCACCCAGGCTTGTGAATGTAATTATTGCCATCTGTATACCCGTGACGTTTTCAGTTCTGTTTGATTGAGATGAGCATCGGGAGGGACAACAAGGCTCTCAAGGTTACAATACTGTCTCAAAGCTAAAATACTGTCTGGTCGTTACAGAAGAAGTCTGCCATCCCTGAGAACAAGGATGGGGTAGAAATGATACCATGAGACCTCCCAGCCTAAGCCCTAAGCACCAGCAGCAGCTCAGT